CCATAGCAAATTCTTTGTTTATCCGTTTGGTGTGAGCAAGATCTATATATATATTAATATAGCTACTTATTGTCAGTAGCTAGCTAAGATGTTACTATACTTACCAAATAAAGGGTGTCCTGGTGATGTATGATGTAACTCATCGTGAGTCTTACAAAGCAGCTTCTGACTGGATCAAGGCAATAAACATGGTGAGTCGTCAGAATGATAACGCAGGTTTCTATCGAGCTATTTCAATAGAAAACAGTGGCCTTATAATTATTATAGCTGTATCGGGCCACTGTCCCATTGGTATAGAGGCTTTAACTTTAGCTTCTTCTTCAACACTGAAATTTCCCCGGTAGAATGTAGGAGATGCAGAGATGGTGTTGGTAGGAAACAAGATTGATCTCCAGGACAGAAGACAGGTCAGGGACATGGACGGCAGGAACCTGGCCCAGGAACACAATATTTCTTTCATTGAAACCAGTGCTCTCAGAAATGAAAATATTAAAGAGGTATATAGCTACTTGAAATAGCTACATTGGTCATCTCCCGTTTAATCTTATTCTATGCAGGCTTTTTCTATGCTTATCGACAACATCATGACAAAACAGGTAGGTAGAAAAGACACAAAATGTAGCCAGCTCGTATTATGACAGCATGCAAATAATATAACCCCACCAACCTTGTGTGATATTATGGTGTTGTCACAGTATATACTTTTGTTATTATATAAGCGTCTGAAACTAGCACTTGCTAAGCTTTCAGTGTTTCGTAAGGGACAAGGCATTTAGACACTATGTTTCACTATCTCCCAAACACAGCCACATACAATGAGAGCAACTAGTCTCTCTATAACACTAGATATAGACGAAGATGAGGATGAAGAAAGGGAAAAGAGATCCTGCTGCTTACGACGTAGACATTAGCATGCCATTATTAGCGACTCTCTTTTTAGATCTTGTCACTTGCAAATTTTAATGTGTGTGCACTCAAGGAGTGAAAGCCATGAGTTTTTGACCTTGAAAGACAGACTCGCTCTCTTCTGCGCATGCGCGCAGACTGGGCGGGTAGCGACGCGGTTCATCATACCGACAAGGTATAAGCCTGCATGGTCCTGGCCTGGCATGGTGCCTCTGGTGTGCGTGCGTGCCATGCCACGGCAGGAAGTGTGGTTTCATGACCGTGCACCGACGACAATGCAGGCTTACTTTGCATCCGCGGCACCCGTGGCGTTGTACGTCGGCACATCAACGCGCACCCTAATGGAACGCAGCACCCCTTTCACGAACCAGTCACGTCCGGCCGTCCGCGAACCCATAGCTTGTCACTTATGGCAAGTCTGCTGCTGGATAAATACTCCATAATCACATTTGATCCCTTACTAGAAGAATGTTGAACGTTGTTGGCGAGCGGGAACGACCCAACTTGGGATTTGCCCGCGATGTTCGGGCTGCATAACGTGCCGTCAGCGCACAGCTTTCCGTGAAGCAAGACAGATCTACCTGTCGCCGTTACATGTGTACTGCATATTGCCAGCAGGTGAGCAGAACGGTATTTACCTTACGCTTTCAGCTCGTCAGTCGTGATCTTGCAGGCAGCAAGCATGCAGCAGTATCTACAAGAGCAATGCCAGCTTATTTCCAAGTTGCATCTTCGAACCATGAAGATTGGGAAGAAACCTCGGCCAGTCACGAAGTTAAGTTTGTAGCGAATGCCGTCGAATGGAGGAGAGTTCTCTCGCTGGCTAGATCGGCGCATATCGCTAGGCCGCGTGTGAAAATGGGGCACAAACTCTACATGTGAGTTGTAAGGTCAATAATGTGCTGATATATCACTAGAGTGGGCTCTCTTGACTACTGGCCTCCTGTTCCACAGAATGGTAGGAAGAGTCTCCTATAATTATTGCAGATGTAATGTGGGCGTGGTTTTATAAAGTCGCTGAAACTTACTTACAAGTTACGTCGTTGGCTAAAGTATCCGACGACGCCATAAAAACTGGCTTCACTGTCGGTATTGTGCTGCTGCAGTGGTGTGGTAAAGGTTTAGTTTAGCCGGTGGCGCAGAGATGAAAGCGCGACCCTAGAAACGACCTTTCAATCAGGATAATAATGCGCATGCGCGTACCCAGTCGCCCGCCGCGCGCTAGTCGGGCTGCCTATTTCACGGGGAAGCAATAGTCAGGTGACGTTAGCATCGACGACCTGTATAATTGGGCGAGCGGAGCGAGCCCACCTAGTCGTGTCTTCGGCTCGAATTTTCCACCGTCGTCGTCTTAGTGCGCCTGCGTTAATATTACGCGCTTCTTATTATACGACGGAATTTTTTCTCCATCCTCTTACAGTCCGTCCAGTTGGCTTCGACGAAGATAGATTCATCCGCGGAGGATAGTGTTCTTCGTCGAAGAAAAACAGACAGAGAATCGTGTCTTCGGCTGGAATTTTCTATCTATGTATGCCCGGCCGTCGAAAGTCCTCACGACAGAGAGGCTCGTCTTTTGCAATGAATAGCACTTAAGTGCAAACCCTCGGCGAACTGGCTTAAAGGCTTCAAAGACGGACCCATTCCGTAAGGGCGTGGACCGTCTAGTGGTTTTCAGGGATGATTACGAGATCGAGAGCGGGCAAGGCAACGATACTGCTTCTGGTCCAAGAGGTAGACAGACAGAACGCCCGGCCGTCGAAGGTCCTCACGACAGAGAGGCTTGTCTAAGAGATGGAGAGGGGGAGCGGGCACATTACCTTTCCGTTGCTACTTTCTTCTGGTCTAGTTTCACTAGCTACGTATGCGCAAGCTGCCTTATTCAACCTAATATTATGTCAACACCATAATAACTTCTGTTACTTGCTGAAACATTTTACGTGTACGTCCGTAGCTATAATATTATCGCTAGTAATGATGATGGTTGTTTATACTTGAGTTCTCGCTCCGCTCGCCCACACCAAGCATTTCCACCAGTACCCCTGGAATGCGGTGGTTACACAACACCCTAACTTTTCCACGTGGTTGGGTCCGGGGAACGCTCTTAGCTCCATTACCAGCTGTACACTACTAACCCTGTTCTTTGGCGATGGCTTGCACCATTGCAGTCGACAAGAAACTCTCTCAATCATTTGCCGTATTAGCGAAAGCGTCAGGAGGCTCAACAACTAAACTATGACGTAACCGCGCATACTGATTACTTAATTCCACGCCGTTCTGCAATCTGATTGGACTGGTACTATAGTTGCAGAGGGTTATACGGGTGTCGTCGATGCTGACGTCACGACTATTTCTTCCTCGCGCGTGAAATAGGACGGACTACCGCCGCATATCGATCACAATTTGCCAGCTATTTCTCAGTGTTGTCCTGCATTACTCGGTAAGAACCACTAAATGTCTAAGATAGGGCTGTGCATAAAATTACAGCATGATAAAAAGCGCCAAACGCGTACAGATAATGTTTTAGCTACCTCTAATTGTTTGTCACAGAGCAAAATGGCTAGCAGCAGAGCACCTTACGAAGAAGTAAAGAAACTGGGAGTAGGATCGTACGGTGAAGTCTACTTGATCAAGTACCACAAGAAAGAGTATGCCGCCAAGGTCCTCCACCGACTTCTGTTTGACCCACACGATCCGGGAACGGCGACCTACGCCGACAAGTTCAGGGCAGAGTGCGAGCGCCTAAAATCCCTAAGTCACGATTGCGTCGTAAAGTACGTCCAAACAATCATCCGCTCCGACACGAATTTTCCCGTTCTTATCATGGAACTGTGCGGTGAAAGCCTGACAACGTTCCTCGAGCATTCCCCGACGAAGCCCCTTCCTTATCACGTAGAGCTCAACATCAGTATCGACGTGGGCCGTGCTCTCGAGTATTTGCACGAGAATTCCGTCATCCACCGCGACCTCTCGTCAAACAACGTTTTGATGGTGGCTGGAAATAGGGTAAAGGTTTCCGACTTTGGGATGTCCAAGCTGGATTCAGTCAACCCCAACCGTTCCCTTACCATATGCCCAGGAAACGTCAATTACATGTCCCCGCAGACATTCAGTAACCCTCCCCAATACACGACAAAGCTGGACATCTTTTTCTTTGGTGTTCTCTCGGTACAAATTGTGACGAGGCAGGAACCAAACCCCACGGATCGACACCAACCAATCCCTCACCAGAGCCCCGGTGTCTGCAGAGAAGTCCCTGAAGTAGAACGACGTGCTGCGCAATTGGAGACGATTGCCGATGATCACCCTCTGAAACCAGTTAGCCTCAAGTGCCTCACCGATGAGGAAGAAGGTCGACCAACAGCAGCAAGTTTGGTGCAGACGCTGAAAAGTCTTCGTGGGGAGGAAAAGTACACACAGAGCTACGAGAAGGAGCTGCATCGTAGTCACGCACACAAGGAGCGGGAGAGGGAGAAAAGGATGGAGAAGAGTCATCGCTCGAGGCATCGCTCCAGGAGGCACCCGAGAGTGCAGTTGTTGCCCAACGAGATAAAACTGAAGCTGCTAGTGGTGGGCCAGTCAGGAGTGGGGAAGACATGTGCTCTGAGAGTCTACAACGGAGAAGAATTTGCCTGTCAGGAGTGCACAGTTGGTACGGAAATGATGCGTATTCAGTGAATACTAAACTGCATTATAGCTACTGGCATAGTGTATCACTATTCTACGCTGTTTGTGTAAAATTATGCATTCAAAGGCAGCAGTTACTAACTGTAGCTATTGCTACATGTTTACGGTTTGCTGGGTTGTCCTGCACATCACTGTGTTTGTTACCATCATATATACTTAGGTATCGATTTCTGTACAAAGACTGTCCAACAAAACAATCACCATATTACATTGGACATATGGTGAGTTATGGTATGAGCCTATTCAAACTCTCATCCCCTCTCTTTTATTCACAGGGATAGTGCTGGACAGGAGAAGTACAATGCATTGACAAAGGCATACTTTCGAGGAGCTCAGGTATCTGAAAATTTAATCACTATAATAATTATGCACTTTTAGAGAGTGTTTTGGGAATTGGGAATTGGGGGGCTATGCAAGCAGCAATCCATAGCCAAATTCTTTGTTTATCCGTTTGGTGAGCAAGATCTATATATATATAGCTACTTATTGTCAGTAGCTAGCTAAGATGTTACTATACTTACCAAATAAAGGGTGTCCTGGTGATGTATGATGTAACTCATCGTGAGTCTTACAAAGTAGCTTCTGACTGGATCAAGGCAACAAACATGGTGAGTAGTCAGAGTGATAACGCAGGTTTCTATCGAGCTATTTCAATACATAACAGTGGCCTTATATTACAGCTGTATCAGGCCACTGTCCCATTGGTAGAGGCTTTAACTTTAGCTTCTTCTTCAACACTGAAATTTCCCCGGTAGAATGTAGGAGATGCAGAGATGTTGTTGGTAGGAAACAAGACTGATCTCCAGGACAGAAGACAGGTCAGGGACATGGACGGCAGGAACCTGGCCCAGGAACACAATATTTCTTTCATTGAAACCAGTGCTCTTAGAAATGAAAATATTGAGGAGGTATAATTATATAGCTACTTGAAATAGCTCTATAGCTACATTGGCTAATGATTGTCATCTCCCGTTTAATCCTTATTTTATTGTGCAGGCTTTTTCTATGCTTGTCGGCAACATCATGACAAAACAGGTAGGTATATACAAAATGTAGTTAGCTCGTATATATTATGACAGCATGCAAATAATATACCCCCAACAACCTTGTGTGATATTATGGTGTTGTCACAGTATAAGTATATTATATAAGCGTCTGAAACTAGTACTTGCTAAGCTTTCAGTATTTCGTAAGGGACAAGGCATTTAGACACTATGTTTCACTATCTCCCAAACACAGCCACATACAATGAGAGCAACCAGTCCCTCTATAACACTAGATATAGACGAAGATGAGGATGAAGAAAGGGAAAAGAGATCCTGCTGCTTAGGACGTAGACATTAGCATACCATTATTATCGAACAGGTAGGTATATACAAAATGTAGTTAGCTCGTATATATTATGACAGCATGCAAATAATATCCCCCCAACAACCTTGTGTGATAATTATTATGGTGTTGTCACAGTATAAGTATATTATATAAGCGTCTGAAACTAGTACTTGCTAAGCTTTCAGTATTTCGTAAGGGACAAGGCATTTAGACACTATGTTTCACTATCTCCCAAACACAGCCACATACAATGAGAGCAACCAGTCCCTCTATAACACTAGATATAGACGAAGATGAGGATGAAGAAAGGGAAAAGAGATCCTGCTGCTTAGGACGTAGCTAGACATTAGCATGCCATTATTATCGACTCTCTTTTTAGATCTTGTCACCCATTGCAAATTTTTAAGTGTGTGCACACAGTTGAGTTTGCATGCGCGCCAGTATCAACTCGCGTTCTTCTACGCATGCGCGCAGACTGGGCGGGTGTACGTACGTGTAGCGACGCGGTTCATTATACCGACAAGGTATATGCTTGCATGGTCCTGGCTTGGCATGGTGACTGGTGTGCGTGCGTGCGTGCCATGCTACGGCAGGAAGTGTAGTTTCCTGACCACGGACGCTAAACGTCGACCTCTGCGCACACCAACGCGCACCCGTATAATGGAACGCAGGACCCCTGTCACGAACCAGTCACGTCCGCCCGTCTGCTAGTACAATAAAGATTGTCACTTACAACCTTTTGGCAAGTGTGCTGCTGGATGAATACATACAATTATATGAATTGCATTTTTTTCACCAGCCTCCCAAAAGGCTATGCTTGTGAACCCTAGCTACTATTGTAGGTAACATCTTCAACATACATTTATATGAGACGATAAAATCCATAGCTACGTGGACAGCTAACAGGGTCGCTAGTCTAATAGCCGACGTTTTCTCGACGCCGTATAGCTAGGTACGTAGCTAGTAGCCTCGTAAACTTCAGAGTGAGAGAGCAGTGTGGTGGTTGATATCAGGGCAGAATTTGGATTTTTTTCATCGAAGTCCATACCTTGGAAGGCTGTCGGCAGGTGTAGCTAATTATTATCGTAAGCAACCGCAACAATGTCATTCACCAGCTTACTAACTGCCTTGGGCCAAAAATGATTGTCCGCATGCAAATTGACAGCAGTAACTCTCGCGCGCGCTCTGTCAACATACAACCCATGTGGTGTACTGGTATAATAATTATATACAACTTGGAGATGGACCGCAATGTATTATACCTCAGCCCCAAAATGAATAATATAATCGTGCGGGTCAATTAGGGGTGTGGCACAATTCTGCGAAACATTGTGGTGTCTTGAGACATCGAAAACCAGGTGATCTAGTCCGCCGCCCCCATTTCAAGAGAACGCAGTTTTGGTCATTATTAAAACTGCGCAAGCTGTGCTGTGAGTACTAATTGGCTTTGCACAAAACTCGTTTTGACTGTCTTCCCACTCTGAGTTTTTGTGGTCATAAGTCGACTAATGACATAATGAAAGCACTAAAGTGCAAACCCTCGGCGTACTGGGGATGCGCGGTACCGCTAATTGATGGGCTGGGCTGCTATTGCGTTTACTCGTGGTCTCCGCTAGTAGCTCGCAGAGAGTCTGACACGGGCTAGCTACAGTAGTAGATAGCATGCGAGAGTCGATACACCCCCTTCGTTGTGACTTCTTGTGCCTTCAAGATACACAGAGCAAGCGGACCCGGTCGAGGATATAAGCGCATGCGCATTTTCCGCAGCGATAAATATGGCCGACTACGCATTAGCCGTACAATGTGGTGGAAGCGCTTTAGCTATGCAACGTCGCCTGTTGGGTAGATGGTATCGTTTCTGGGACGAACAGACACCCGTGAAGTGACATTGAGAGTAACACACAGACAGACAAACCCAACTACTGTAACCCTCGCTGCGCATTGCGCTGCGAGGGTTATGGTAAAACCCGCCCGCCCGCATCTTTACTCAAAGGCCGCTGACAAGAAACCGGAATCAAACTAGGAGTGACCAAAATAGCGACCGTAGCTAGCTAGCTTACATACGTAATGTTCGCGCTATGCAATGGGGACATGGCTATAAAACACTGACGCAAAACCATTCTAGCAAAAGGAACCCATTTACAATCTCGTCATTGGTGTTGCCATCGATGGCAGCAATAGGTTTCGATTGCCGGTGTGCAAGGGCTCTCTCGGAGCCCGACTTTCTCTCGAACAGTACCAGAACTCTTGATGAAACCGTCCGATTATATGAAATTTTTAGAAGCTGGTTTTTCGTCGCGCAAACGCTTGGCCCCGTCAGTGCTACACGGGGTTCTTTAAAATCGGTTCCAAACCCGCTCCTTACCAGTATCAGTGAAGCACTGTATTTTTTCACTGAACGTCTCCAATTTCGCCGAGGTGTGTGTAAACGACATCAAGCGATAGTTCGTTTCTTCTTTTTTGGCGCGCAGTCACTTGAGCGGGTATGATCATGGAGCTTTCTTCATATGGTCGACCGCACGCGCTTGCTGCGAACTGTGCAGCATGACAGTGAGCGCTGCGAGCATGTCGCTAGGCATACCATATCGTGCCGCGCGCGCGCGTGTCTTCATTATGCTGGTTGTGCACGGTCGCGGACAGCGTCTTGCGTGGCACCGCAATCCCATCAATTGAAGCGGGTTGCGCATGCG